GAAATCATCCACTGGAATCAGAAACCTAGTTTTTTTGAAAATTCAGCTTCAATAGCAACACAGTATTCTAACTAATTTCAGGCTAGAAGTTTGACATTTACATTCATCAGAGCCTACCTTGTGACTTAATTAACACATCGACTGCCACACTAGAAAAACAAATGTTTCCCTGGGGCCACAGTGTTTTATTAAAACAAAATGATCCTCATTTGTTATTTTTTATTGTTTTGTGTGTGTGAGTTACATGTAATGCAATCCACATTTTTAGAATTAAATTTTCAATATTAACTGTAACAATAAGAATATCAACAAGTAAGATTTTCACAAACTGCAGGGTTTTGCTTCATGAGGCCCCAGGCTCAAATCTAGCCTGAGTTAAACACAACTCATATGGCAGTCAATGTGTTAAGGAAGAAATAGAATAAAAAAGCAGAAACAATGGGAATGCAAGCACCAAAACCAGAAAGCCTCTCATTAAATGTGAGATCTTATTATCTAGGTTAGTTTTATGAAAGGCATCCACTTGATGTTCCTGTATTCACTACATAATATACCATCTGTAAAAGAACAGTCATGTTATAACCTATCACAAAAGGCCATTTTTAAGTGCACTCCCTCAACTGAAGATAGCAAGGGTCCTCTCAATTTCTTCCTAGTAGCTGCCACCATCCACTCATTCTAAGCCACGAACAACCATGAAAGATTTTTTAAAATGGACCTCCATCAACTTTTCCCTTTATTCAGTAAATATTTACTGAGCTCCTATTATGTACTCAGGCCCCATTTTAGGCACTAAAAATTCAGCAGTAATTAAAAAACCCCAGTCCCACCTCATGAAACCTATTTTCTAGGTGTTGCTTGAGCAAGTTCCTTATTCTGTGATGGATGAGAGAGACTGTAAAAATTAGGAAGAAATAATGAAGAAAAGTAAAAGGAAGAACAGAGAAGAGCCTAAGACAGCGACTTGCCAAGTCTGGGCTTCCAGTTTGCTGAGAAAATGGAATCCTCCTAGCTACACAGTTGTGAGTTTCTAATTTGGAGGTAGGGAGTGGGAGGGTGGAAGGGTTGGAGTTAAACTAAATTGCCTTCATTACATATCACTGAAAAGATTTCTAAATACTACTTTAAATTTTCAATGGAGCAAACAAATTTTTGTTAGGTCTTACCTCTGGAGTGGCTCGAAGATAAATGATTCCATCCAATTCAAGGCGCTGGCCAAACTGGTTATTCATCCAATCATGCCAGTCTTGATAAACCGTCCACTCTGTTTCATTCATGCAGTCAGATTCATACAAATTAGATGCAAAAATATACCTGAAAAAGAGTCTTCATCAGCACATATATCATTTCCGAAAAAAAAAAAAAA